AGTCTGGTTATAAGGACGTTTTATGGAATTCATGTGGTTTTTGTCTTTACATGAGAAGAGGACTGATTTCAGGTAGTTACAAAGAAGCATAGATGAAAGCCATTAATTTTACCTGATAGTGAAGATGGTAATTCAGGAAACCTTCATAAAAGACATAATGCTTAAACTTGCTTTGAACTGTGACACTGCTCACTGGGCAAAGGGGAGATGTCCATCACAAAGGATGCAGTGTAAGTGCAAGGCAGACAAGTATGGAGCATTGTGGTTTGTGTGCACACAGAGGTGAGGCAGGGGAGAGATCAAGAAGGAAACAAATGCTTGATGAATGATTAGAAGTAGAGGAAGGAGAAAATGGGATTAAAGATAACGCTAAGATTTCAAGTCATATTCATTTGTCCTTGACAACATTTTTGATTGCTGTATACATGGGTAGTACAATGTTTTGATCAAAATCTTATAAAAGCATCTACAAACAGGAAATGTCTTGTTATCAAACATTAGGAAAAAAATACTTATAACATTGATAATAATCATATTAAATAAAATCTTTTCCTGAAAGAAAAGCACAAATCAATTTTAAAAATAAGGAGTAAGGGGTAAACCTCATTCAACCTTATGACTTTTAGGCAATATTAGGAAGAGATGCTGTTTAAAGTATGGCAATTAACAAATCCTGCTCTAATCCAGGAAATGTAAAATCAATCTTTAAGCCTTTTAATGCTTTATTCAAGTGTGTGTGTGGAGGGGGGTGGGAGAGGGAAAGGCACAGAGGAAGAAGTGGGAAAGAGAGATTTTAGAAATATTCTTTTAAGAAGGACATATCAGGCAGATATAACATGCATAATCTGCCCAGGGATATAAGCTTCATTGTACATGAAAATGCAGTAATTATTTAATTGGTTAAACTGTAAATAGCAGAAGTATATAAGCAATTGAATTTATTTTGAATTTTTTAAAATAAAAATCAGCACCCATGATAGGAAATTGAAGAAAAATAGAGAAGAGTGCATTATAACATTGTTGTTTCTTCAGTGATAATCTCAGATTTAGCAAGGGTTTCTTGCTCCCTCCTTATTTCCTGGTAAGGTAGTATAAACTTCACCACCACTCTATATATACACTTAAAATGTCTTCAGCTGTTTTTGCACATCCCCAGAAAGAATCTTGTGAGTGTTCCTGAATAGATGCTCTCAGTTACTACATGTTTCTTTTTCTTTTGGTGCATGTTTCTTTTGGAGATGTCACCAAAAAGATTCAGGAAGGTGTGTTGCTCTCTCTCTGCTCCTTGGTTTGTTTCCTGTTATTCCTTGTTAATCACCACTGTACCAAGATCTCACTGGACTGAAATTGTTCTTTTAAAGACGGGAGGATACCCCCAAACACACACATCTGTGTCACACCCTATCAAGAAGTCCCAAACATATGTCAATTTTATTCTCCAAAACTCACTTAGATCACGCATGAACAATTATTTCAGGATCTTGCTTGAGCATCTTTTCTTTGTGCTTAAATAGGAGTTCAGGAAGGTTGGCCTGGAAGCTAGGAGTCTACTAAAAACAGGGCTTGCTTTTTATGCTAAATCTTTTCTTGTCTTTGAATTAAAGTTTGGAATTTATAAATAATTGTTTGATATTAAACTTTTTAACAATCCTATTTAGGTAGATAGGACAGATTATTATAATTACCATTTTATAGACCAGAAACCTGAAATTTGGAAAGCTGTATTTACTGAGCAAGTAAGTTGCAGAGGTGAAACTCAAATCCAGGTTGTCAGAGTCCACATCTAGTTCACTATCCTCAACTGTCTCTGCAGAGTTGGAGATATGCTGTGTGTCAAATGCCATCCTGTAATGTGTAACAACTGCAATTGCCGAATGACATTCCATCCTTAACTGAGAGTAGATTCCCCTTACTGCTTAGAGGCGCCTCATCAAAGCCACAATTCTTCTCCCAACAAAAATGCACATTAGTGGGTAACTCTGTGTAAATACACACTTTACATCTTTTGCAAGTAGATCCAAGGATTTTAGGGATGTCCTGAACCACAGAGCTATATTTAAAGGAACATCTGCCCGTTGCATACTGATCCTGTTCTCTAAGGCGGGTTTAAAAAGATTTTACTGTGTGTATTTCAGTGCTAGTATATATATTTCTTTTGATATCAAAATCCTTTATCCAAGGCATATGTCCTTATTAAAAATATTAAAAATGCATGAAAGTGAGTCTACATGGTAAAGGAGAAATTTAATTGAAACATCCAAAGTTCTATTTTCCTGGAAGTTGTATTAACAAATTATGGTTTATCATGTTTACAGTATTGAATTGAACTGTTAAATAGTACCTGTATATTTGAATTGAATTATATATATAATCTATATGTATTATATAATGTATATGTGCATATATATATGCACAAACATATATTTAGTTGCTTCTTCAAATTAGAGATTTGAGCTAACATTTATTGCACAGACATTTAACAAAGTATTTTTAATAACTAAAAAATTATGTCTGCATGTGCTTTTTAGTCAATTGAGTGATTGACTGGTATCTGATCAATATCAATAACCTGTGTGAACATTGTGAAGGATGGTAGTAGAGGCTGAGGCTCAACTTCAGTGGTTCTCAACCTTTGTTACTCTTTTGAATCACCTGAGGGACCTTTAAAGAATGCTTTATGCTGTGACTCCAGTTTTAGGAATTTTGATTTGACAATGTAGAGTGTGGCCTGAACAATGGGATTTTTTAAAAGCTTCTCAAGTGGTTCTATAGAGTTTGCAATCACTGCTCTAATTTTTACCCCCTAAATGGGAGAATTCTCAAACAGCACAAGAAAGAGTATATTCATTATAATCTGTCAAGCCAAGACAAATTGAGATTATTTTTGAAGAGAGGAGCTGTATTTAACAAGATAGTATAGGGGACCAAAGTGATAAATTCAGCCCACTCTTTTATAAATCAATCTTTTTTCCTTCTTATAAATTATATACAACAGATAAAATCTGAATTGATAAACATGCAGCTATATGCTGATTACATAGTCTATGTAATTAACCTTTTTGCCTTGCCTGATGAATCAAAATCCATGATTATATTTAATCAGAATTATGGAATGTAGTTTCTGTAAGTCTCACCTGAGCCGTGTGATGCACCTCCTTATTCTTAACACATAACAAAATGTCTTGTACACGAGGTTACATTTTTGAATCATAGTTTAATAAACCCAATCAAAAGTCTTTTAAAAACCCTCAAAGGCCTAATTCCTGTCATCAGAGGAAGTTTCAGCTTTTGAACCATATCTAGAGTGGTTTAGGGAGTTGGAATGGTAGTAGAGGGGAGGGAAAGGAATAGCTTTAGAGGAGTCCAAGGAATATAGATCCAGTTTAATTTTTTAACTCATATTTATAATGATGTCTTTCCTGGATACCTCCTCTTCCTGCACCCCCATTTCAGGAAATGTAAAGTTAGCAATAGAAGATATGTGCAGTTACCTGAGGAGTGAGAAGAGTAGATTTAGAAGGATGATTTCAGGGCTGATTCCTGTTAGATGATGTCGTGCCTCTCTCCACTCCTGCATTTAGCCTATGCAGTAACTTGCAGAACTGTATTCAACACACATGAAGGCTCGAGGAACTAGAAGTAAAGATTATAAAGCCATAGTTGCAAGTGAGGGAAGCGAAGCTGAATGACTTTAGAACTGAACATGTGCTACAGCTGCTAAGGTTCCAAGACCTGGACTCAAATCAGAGCTGAAATCTAGGCCCTGTGTGTGGTAGGGGGCTGGAACTGAGCTTCTTACATAAAGCTGGCAACCATCAAGTGTTGTCTAGTCCTTGAAATTGAGGCTAGAAAGACTACTCACAGACTGGGAGTGCCCTAGTGATCTGGGTCATTATAAAAATAAATATATTAAATTCACATATGTAAAAAAGACTCAAATTGGTCAAAAAAACACTATGTAGATATAGTTCTTTTATAACTAGACACAAAATACTATATCATGACTCAGGTAAAATACATTTTTGGAGAAAATGTGCTAGAAAATACCAGTCAAATAAATGCTTGTTGATTAATAAACGAAAAATATTTAACATGCAAAACATTACTAGGGATGAAAAGAGATGCAACATTGAGAAAAAAAGGAATATTCCACCAAGAAGCAATAAAATTAAGTTTTATGTATCATGACCTTACAATATTTAAAGCCTGTTTAAATATTAAATATTTAAAGGGTGAAGGTAGACAAAAGGTACCTTGGAAAACCCCTGCTGTGGTCAGGCCAGGGTGGAGGGGGTGGGTCTACAGAAGATTGTGGGTTGAGGGGTGCTGTTAGCAAGCTAGGTGGAGAGTGTTTATGCCTTGCTGGTTCTCACAGGTGTCCATGTGTCTAGGCCAGGGGGTGGAGGAGGGAAATGGTATCCGCAAGCTCTTTTTATTTTTGGAGAAGTTTCCCAAAGATCCTTGCCCCTCCAGCATATGCTCTGAATTTAGTAAATAAATTACCTTCCAGTAACCCCAAGCATTTTTCAAATTGCTGCTTCTATACTGTATCTCAGCAGGGCTATTTGTTGTGCTTTATCTTTAGGGCCAGAGGCTTGGTTTTCTATCACCCTTTGGCTCTCCCAGAGCCCAGCTGCTGATTTTAAAAAGTTCTAGGTGTTGAGCCCTACTGATTGTAAGAACTCACAAAGTTAGACCCCTGTGGTTTTCAAAGTCAAATATTATGGAGATTCATCTTCCCAGTGTGAGTCCCCTGTGCCTGGGGTGCTGGGTGTGGGATTTGCTCCTATCTCCTCTCCATGCCTGCTGTGGTGTCCCTCCCTCCTGTGGACAGTTGAAGGTACATAACATCTTCTGCATATAGCAGGTCCCCACAGGGTCTCTACCCTTACTGCCCTCTTCAATGTGGCCTCTTCTCTACATTTAGCTGTGTAGAATCTGTCCTGCCAGTCTTCAGATCATTTTCTGGTTTATTTATTCTGATGTGCATGTTATTCTAGGTGTCACTGGGGGAGGAGGTGGTGCTAGCATTCTCCTACTCTGCTATCTTCCCTGGAAGTCATGGTAAGTATACTCTTAATCTTCACCTCTTTCACCTATCTCCCCACCCTTTTCCCCTCTGGCAATCGCCAGTTTGTTCTCCATATTTACCAGATAATTTTTTTAAAGATTTTATTTTATTTATTCATGAGAGACAGAGGAGAGAGAGAGAGAGGCAGAGGCAGAGGGAGAAGCAGGCTCCCCATGGAGCAGGGAGCCCGATGTGGGGCTCGATCCCAGGATCCTGGGATCACAACCCAAGCCAAAGGCAGACCCTCAATCAACTTAGCCACCCAGGTGCCCCACCAGATAATTTTTATTTTTTATTTTTTTATTATTATTTTTTTAAAGATTTTATTTATTTATTTGAGAGAGAGAGAATGAGAGACAGCATGAGAGGGAGGAGGGTCGGAGGGAGAAGCAGACTCCCTGCCGAGCAGGGAGCCCAATGCGGGACTCGATCCCGGGACTCCAGGATCATGACCTGAGCCGAAGGCAGTCGCTTAACCAACTGAGCCACCCAGGCGCCCCCCACCAGATAATTTTTAAATCTCCACTTTAGGCCATGTATCTTGTGTCTTTTCACTTTCTTATTATATTTTATTAATGTTAAATTCTGGCACAAATATTTTCTTCTGAGTTAGTTGATTTACTTTTCCCTCAAAATTTTCTTCTAATATTTTAAAAATTGAATTCCTCATTGGTATCATTTTATCTTTTTAAAAAATAACTTACTTTTAAAACTTCAAATCACTCTTTTCTATGGAAATGATGATATAAAAATTGCATCTGCATTCATGAGTCCACCCTGATATAAATTAACAAATGAGTAAATTTTTAAAAAGGGAAAGAATAGGGAAATCTCCTGTGTAGAATTCCAAATAATTGGGATAATCAAAGTAGGTGTAGCATGACCTCCCATGGCTTAAATATGAGCTGATGATAATGACTTTCTTCCCAAGAGAAAAGAAGGAAAAAGAGTAACTTTAGAGAGGAGAAACCTGACAAACAACTATCTCAGCCAGGGGTTAAGGTTAAAAATCAACAGTGATAAGTCATGTTGATAGTATGTACCCTTGCTGTAATGTAGTGCAAATGGCATTTTACTTCTGTAGTCTTCTGTAAAACCCATAATCCAAATCTAATCATAAGAAAAAGATCAGAGCAATTTCAATTGAGGGAAATTCTAGAAATTCCCTGACCGGTACTCCTCAAAACTGTCAAGTTCATCAAAGACGAGGAAAGTCTGAGAAAATGTCACAGCCAAGAGCAACCTAAGGAGAGATGGCAGCAAAATATAATGTGGTATCCTGGAATATAAAAAGAACATTAGGTAAAAACTAGGGAAATATTAATTACAATATGGTTCTTAGTTAATTGAAAAAAATGCATTGGCTAGGCAATCCCTTCCATTAGTATACCAAATCTTATTCCTATTTATAAAAATGTATAAAAATTCATTCCTATTACAGTGCTTTCTAAGTAATTAGAAAGAGCTATGCTAGAACAAAGAAACTGATATCATGCTCAGATAAAAGGTAATTTGTAACAAATGCCAATTCCTTTTTTCTTTTTTTAAAATTTCACATACCAAACAAAATCAATTAAAATACCATTTGGTATACTGGAACAAGAAAAGGGCCAAACATCTGAAGACTGTAATGGGAGAAAGCTAAAGTAAAACATTTCTAAATTAAAGACAGAAATACATATATTTATAATAATATCAAATATCATACTTAGAATATAAGTTACTTGGGATTCTGTATGTGACATATGTCCTGGAAGCAATCTATATGAAGATATGTCAAAAAAGATTATGTCTGTATGTAATCATGTGCAGTTTTGAAAATGACATCTGCCATGATTGAAGACAGACCATTGGGTGATGCCTCCTATACAGGAAAATGGTCAGCAAATGTGTTATTGTCCTAACATTGCTGTGATTTCCAAGTTTATTATAAGTTTGATTAAATTTATTCATGACCATGGGATAAATGAAAATGTATATATTTTCCATTTTGTATCACTAGTGGTATCATCTTAAGAAGGATAGCTCCTTCTGGAGGAGCCATATGACTGAAGCATAATGATTTTTATTCTTTGTAGATGGTAGTGCATACATTAGCAGGCATATTCTCTGGTGAATGGCAGCATAATGTAGAGAAAGAGAACTTTGGAGAACCATATGGGAGTTCTGTGTTCCCATAGCAACTTGAGCATACATTGAAAGGATCATGTGTATATGACTGTTCCCTGTCTATTGTATAATGGACTTAGTACAGGGACTGTATCTTGTTTTTCTTTCCTCATTGCCTACACAGTTATTAAGGTGAGACATTCTGATCTTAAGTGATTTTAGAGTCAGATGAATGGACCCCAAAATAATTTATAAATATTATCCCACCTCTTCTACTTAACATCAAAATGGTAGTACCAAAATTACATTTCCTAATTCATAGAAATGAGATCAGAAGTTTGCAATAGTGATCTGGAATAGACACTAAATAAATATTTGGCTCCCTCCAACCTAGTTGAGGTCATGGATATTTTTTAATATCATTTCAAACATTGTTTTTATTTCCATTATTTAAAAAAATATTTGTATCTATTACCATTGTTAGAATCAAATCTTAATTTGAAAGAAATGCCTCCTTGTAGGACGACTGATGGACTAGATGGCAGAGAATATATATATGTTTTAATTTTAATTTTTATTATTTTTTAAAGAAGGAGAGGTGGGAAGGGGCAGAGGAAGAGAGAAAGAGAGAATCTCAAGGGCAGAAGGCAGCACAGGGCTTGATCCCACCACTCTGAGATCATGACCTCAGCCGAAATCAAGATTTGGACGCTTAACTGACTGATCACCCAGGCACGCTGGCAGAGACTATTTTTAATGGTTGATAACAGCCTTGGGCACAAAGAAAAAATGGATTATAATTCTTTGCATAGTTTCTTTCAGGAAATATAACTGTGTTCAGTCAATAGCTTTTTTCCCCTAAGTTTATAGAAATTTAATTCCCTTTCTTTTTTGGTTTTCCATTTATTATTCCTTGTAATAAATACAAGTGAGAAATATAAAATATAAGTAATAAAAGTAAAATATGAAAGTTGTGTGTATAATGACTGCCATCATTTAAATAAATATGGGTAAAGTGTGAAAGAATTTGTAGTGTTAATATAATAGACTTACATTTATCAATATTTTCTTAAGTTTTCTGTGCTATTTTAAGTCAAAACACTTAAAATTTTTTATTTGTAATTTATTTCTGAGAAAGAATTCACATAGGGAAGATCAGTTGCCTCTTTCATCAGTAACTTTTTGAACTACTTCTTAGCCTTTTGACTTTAACATTACTTTATGTGTGTTTACTTGCTTTTTGTCAGGCTGCTTCCCCTATTAAAACTGGGCACCATTTCTTCTATGGTACCATAAAATTCTTCTGGAGTAGGACTTTTACCCTTTTATATGAAGTATGGGGGCCCAGGAGAGGAGGCATCCTTTGACATAGGGAGTGATGTCCTTGTTATTGGAGTCTAAAGGACCCACCTAGAGGCATTAAAAATGTATTTCCTTTTCAACACTCTGGGACATTCTGATGTCCAAAGAAGACAAATCTCTGGACTAAATTCTTTTTTTCAGCTGGCATTTTGTTAGTCATACATTTTCTAAAACACATGTTCTTAACCTGGGGTCTAGAGACAGAATTCATCTGGAAAAAGGTATTTTTTCACTCTAATTGAAATTAAGTATTTAATTATGAATGAAGGTAATCAATCACAGTGATATTCGCAGTAATTATGACTTTGTCACCATTATAAATCAGAGATGTTTTCATATCACATTACAGTTGGTGTAAATATCTCAATATGTTTGTATTCTCTACTGTTTCAAAATGCAGTATTTATTAAATTCAGTATTAGGTTTTATTACTTGATGCCTTACCAGGCAAGATGGATTGATTAAGGCACAGTTTGGCATAAGGAGGCTAAAAAATGAGATCAAGAGGCGTTTTCTATTTTATTTGTATTATCCCATTTCTTAAGTTAGATGGTGAGTTCATGGGTGTTCATTTTATTGCTATGTTTTAAAACCTTATATTTGTAATGTTCTTTTCTATGTAAAAATATATATAGCTTCCAAGTCTTTTTGTAAAATCTCTGTTAGATGCCAGTACTGCCTAGACTACCCCCCTTTCTGAAAAATCTCTATCCATTGCCCTTGCTGTGCTGTGACCCTAACTTATGGGATAGTTTATTGAGCTAGAGATGAACTCCTGACCTGTGGAGTAATCTATGAGATTGCTCAAAATCTTGAATTTTAAGGATGTGGTTTGAAAAGAAGAGCTGGGTAGAGCTGCCTCTTGATCAAAATCTTGAATTGAGACACAGAAAATTTATATTATAGGTAATTATAGGTATTATAGGTAATTGAACCTAAAGGCATATACTTATCATGAGATTTAGTAAGAGGGACTTGTGGTTAGGTCTAGTAGGCAAATGAACCCTTAAAACTATGTATGTGTAGAAATTTATATGATCCTTCAAGGATGTTCATGGCTTGGGGTGCCTGGGTGGCTCAGTTGGTTAAGTGTTTACCTACCCACGGCTCAGGTCATGATCTCAGGGTCCTGGGATGGAGCCCCACATTGGGCTCCCTGCTCAGTGGGAAGCTGGCTTCTCCCTCTCCCTTTACCCCACACCCTGTTTCTGCTCTCACTCGCTCTCTCTCAAATAAAATAAAATCTTAAAAAAAAAAGGATGCTCATGGCTCACACCTGGGGTCTCTGATATAACATAGGATAAGAAACACAGGGGCAAAGGCTTATGAAGAACTTGAGTAGTTAAGTGAAAACAGAGCCGGTAAATAGGGGGAGACAGAAAGGCTAGGTGGGACAGTGAGGTAGAGCTGAATAGGCTCATGTCCAGAGCTGCATGTCTTTCTGCCCTTCCTGAGTCATCTTTCATCTTTTTGAAGGAGATTCTTATGGGAAATCTGATCCTTTTCAAAGGAACATCAGTTC